GCGGCCACGCACCGGACACTTTGAGTCAGGGGATTGTTGCGTCTGGCGCCCGCTCTCAAAAAGGTAAGTGCTCACGGGCCCTCAGGTTTCCCGCTGGTACCCTGAGAAATGAAGGCGTCTTACGAGCCGCTCAGGGCATCTCCCCGCCGCCTCGAGAGGCCCTTTCCTTGGGGCTTCCTTGGGATCCTTTCTGCGGCCCTAGCGCTCCTACTGCCAATTTGCTCAGGTAGGGGACCGGCAAGGGTGTCAGCCCTGGGAGCGAACTAGAGCAGGTTGAGGAGGTGGCCACAGATACTCTGGGTTGAGCTGTGATGGATGCAGGACGGTGGGGCCCCACAGGTCCCGCGGTGAGGGTTGTTGGAGGTCAGCTCTGAGCCTTGCTGAGCTCTGGATGCAGTCAGTGTTTGCCTAGGGCCAAGCTGTGTCCCTAGCAAAAGCTTGCAGGAGTTTGGGGACTGAGCTAATCAAGATGATTAGAGATTGACCAGAGAACATATATGCATATGTGCATAACCCGTGGACACAGACAGGAGTGTGGGGAAGGCTTGGGGTGTGGTGAGGGCTGGGTGGGTGAGAGCAAAGGGGTGGGGGGATGGGGGACAACTGTAGTACTGTCAACAATTAGAAAAACAAGATGGGAAGCACTGGCTGGGTGCTGAGGTGAGGTCTTGCTCTTGAATGCCCGGGTGTGTGGGTTTGTTGCTGTGGTCCCTGTTGTGCCCATGGGGAGGCTTTGCTGTGTTCCCTGGGCACAGTGACATCTTGGTGTAGGGTGTTGTGCCCCTCTGGGTTGGACTGGGGGTCCCAGGCCAGGTGTTACTGGGTGCATGCTTTACAGAAGCGTCCCAGACAGCCATACAGGGAAGCTCCCTGCTTGCTTTGTAAGGGACCTGGGAAGCACATGTTGTGCACAGAGCCCTTAAGTGAGAGCCAGCTCTAGGGCCTGGGATTTAGAAGGGTTGGAAGGGCACACAGTGGTTGTTGTACAAAAAGGTGATAGGCTTCTTGTTGCCCCCCAATCGTATTAGTATTGGTTTGCATGTTTCTTTTCTTTTCTTTTTTAACCATGGAGTCACGTTCCTTTTCCCATGCAATATAGATATTATCCTATGCTATTTCCGAATGTCTTTTGGGCAGTGTTTTTTCTTCTTTCATTAGATTGGGTCCCATTTGAGGGGAGATTCGAAGCAACCTAAAAAATAAGTAGTAAGAAATGAATGATAAATAATATCGTAGGCTATTCCCCTATAGCTGATAAACTAAACCTGCAGGCCATCCACTAAGTTTGAGTCATGTTTCATAGAATAGAATGAGTGTATATATATACATACATACACATACACACACACATATATATATATATATGTGCTTATTGTATAAACTGTATATAATCAAAGGACAACCATTGAATACTTTGGTATATTTCCAGCTGTCTTTATTATATGTATGTGTGTTAATGTACCCAAGTTATTTTTAGGATCCTATCATACATACAGTTTGTATGCTGCATTCTCTCCTTAGGAGAATTCATTCAGTAAATATTTGCTCTGTATGTGCCAGGTCCTGTTCTGGTTCTGGGGATACACTGGTGAGCCATAGCAAACCATTCCTATTTTCATGATCCTTACTTCACTCTTTTTCTGTTTGCATCTGCACACACAAAAATATCAACAGCCACTGTGTTTTGCTCACTGTTAGATCTCCAGTGCCAGGCACATAGTAGGCAATCAATAAATATTTTCTGAAATTTATTGGGACTGGCCAACAGGAACCACACCATAATACTTCTTGTGGGGTTTTTTTGCTGTTCTCTTTCTAATTCTTTTAGTTGTAGTGTCAGATAGTTTATGTGAGCTTTTTCTTGTTTCTTGAGGTATGCCTGTAATGCTATGAACTTTCAGGATTGCTTTTGCTGTGTCCCAGAGATTTGGGGTTGTTGTCTATTTATTGTTGTTTGTTTACAGGAAGTTTTTTATTTCTTTCAGGATCTCTTTGGCAAACAATTCATTGTTGAATAGCATGCTACATAGCCTCCATGTGTTTGAATATTTTTTAGGTTTTTTTTTAAAGCAATTGATTTCTAGTTCCATGCCATTGTGATCTGAGAAGATGCTTGATATGATTTCAATCTTCATGAACTTGTAAACACTTGTGTTTGTGCCCTAATATGTGGTTTATTTTTGAGAATGTTCTACCTGCACTTGAGGAGAATGTATATTCTGCTGCTTTGGGTTGAAATGTTCTGTAAATATCAATTAAATGCATTAGATCTATTGTGTCTTTTAAGGTCTTTGTTTCCTTGTTGATTTTGTGTGTGAATGATCTATCCAGTGATGTCAGTGGGTGTTAAAGTCCCCCTCTATGGTTGTATTGCTGTCAATATCTGTCTTACAGCCCGCCAAGATTTTTATATATTTAGGTGCTCCTATATTATAGACATATATGTTTATATGGGTTATATCCTTCTGCTGGATCAATGCCTTTGGTATTATATAGTGACCTTCTTTGTCTCTTCTTATGTTCTTTATTTTGAAGTCTGTTTTGTTAGAAATCAGTATTGCTACCCCAGCTTTTTTTTTTTCATTTCCATTTCTCATGGAGTATTTGTTTCCATCCCTTCATTTTCAGCCTGCATGAATCTTTTGCTCTGAGGTGGGTCCTTCGTAGACAGCATATATATGGGTCATATCTCTTATCCACTCAGCTACCCTGTGACTTTTGATTGGTGTATTTATTCCATTTATATTTAAGATTTTTATTGATATCTATTTATTTTACTCCATTTTCCCCCTTTATGCCTATGTACCTTTCTGTCAATATATTTTTCTTCTTAGAGCAGTCCTTGTGGCATTTTTTGCAGTGCTGGGTTGGTGGTACTGAGCTCCTTTATCCTTCTTTTGTTGGGGAAGCTCTTTATTTCCCCTTCCATTTTAAATGAGAGCCTTGCTGTATAGAGCAGTCTTGGTTTCAGGTTCTTGCTTTTCATTACTTTGAAAACTTCATGCTAATCCCTTCTGGCCTGAGGTGATTCTGTTGAGAAATCTGCTGACAATCTTATAGGCATCTCTTGTTGGTCACTGATTGTCTCTCCTGGAGCCCTTAATATTCTCTCTTTGTCCTTAACATTTGCCATTTTGATTGTGGTGTGTCTTGGAGTGGGTCTCTTTGGGTTCCTCTTGTTTGGTGCCCTCTGTGCTTTCTGAACTTGGTAGGCTTTCTCCTTCACCAGCTTAGAAAAGTTTTCTGCCGTTATTTCTTCCAACAGGTTCTCTCTCCCTTGCCTCCTTCCCTCCCCCTCTGGCACCCCTATTGTGCACATTTTGTTTTGTTTCATGTTGTCCCACAGTTCTCTTAAACTGCCCTTATGCTCTTTGAGTATTTTTCCTGCTTGCTGCTCTGGTTGAGTTGTTTTCCTACCTTATCTTCTAATTCACTTATTCAGTCCTCTGCTTCATTGAGCCTACTTTTAATTCCTTCCAGGGTATTCTTGATGTTAGATATAGTATTCTTCATTTCTGCCTGGTTCTTACTCCTAATATCTATATGCTTTTTCATTGCTGATTTAGCTTTCGCTAAGTTCTTTGTATTTCCCATTAAGTGTCTTGTGGCTCTCACTAATTTCCTTGAACATCTTTATAACCATTTCTCTGAACTCTTATTTCTGATAACTTGCTTATCTCCATCTCATCAAGGTCTTTTTCTGGCAGTTTTTCCTTTTCTTTAGTTTAGGGGTTGTTTCTTTGTCTCCCTATATTAGTTGTGTCTTTGACTTTGTATCTTTGATTTAGATATATTTGCTGTCTCCCCGTCTTGTGGTGTAGGCTCTGGTAGTGAATATCCAGTGGGACCCAGAGGTGTGTTTCTCTTCTACTTCTCAGCTGTATGCTCTAGGTGTGTCCCTTCGTGAGTTCTTTGGGCTCTCCTGTTGTGGTTGGGTCTAGATTGTTGTTGACCTGTTCATGGGAGGATCTTCTGTCAGGCTGGCTAACTGTGAGGCTCAGCCACTATCGTGTCATGTGAGCTGTTCTACAGGTGCTGACAGGGGGAAATAAAACACAACCAAACTGACACGAAACACACAGGAACTTACAACATATCCGACAATTACAATGAAAACAACCCAACAGAAAGTAGATTTAGGAAAGCAAAGAGAGAACACAAATGCTAAAGCAAAAAAGAAAGAGAGAAAAGGGTACTACTGCTAATAGTAAAAGAATGAAAAATAAAGAAGCTACTGGGAGATAAAGGGGACAGAGAAAAAGATTGTGAAAGGAAAAAAGGTATAGCAAAAAAATAAGTGTAGAGAGTAGGAATAGGAAAATGGTTTAAAAAAGACAGGAAGATGGAGAAAGAAAAGGGAAAAGAAGTTATGCAAAGGGAACAAGGAGAGAGAGTAAGGTCAAGCAAGGGCACAGAAGGAGGCTAATAAGAGATATGGAAGAAAAAATAGAGAAAAGCAACAAAATTAATAATTACAATAACAATATTAAAGCAATAAAGTAGAGAATATCAAGGAAATCTTGAAAAGGACAAAACAAAAACAACAACAAAACAGCAAAGCAAGACAAAACACATTTAATAATAATAATAGTGATGATGAGAATAGTAGTAATATTTTTTTTAAAGCCAACATGTGAATTTTGTCTGGGTAGCTTATTTCGTCTGAGGCTTACTATTTTGTATGCTGATTTGGGGACCTTGGNGTGATGAGAATACTAGTAATATTTTTTTTAAAGCCAACATGTGAATTTTGTCTGGGTAACTTATTTCGTCTGAGGCTTACTATTTTGTATGCTGATTTGGGGACCTTGGGAGGTACTTTAGTGTCAGCCAATGTCAGGAGTTGTGTAGGTTTGTCTCTTGGTTTCTTTATGTAGCTGGTTTTTCTGAGGCTCACTATAGACCACCTGTACCTGTCCTGTACTTTGTCTCCTCCTTCTGGTTGCCTGGTCTTACTCCAGCATCTTCCGAAGAGAGTCTTTAGGGTACAGCTCAGCTTGTGTACCTATCGCTATTTGGCCTCTTACTTAGAGATTTCAGCGTCAGGCACTCACTGTGGGGAAATTAATCTGTGCTTCAAAGGCAACTCCTCAGTCTCTACTATATTCTCCAGCTCTAGTTCCCCCTAAAATGACCTGGTGCAGGTTCAGGTTGAATTGAGCCTGTTGCCTTTTCTGTATTGGCAGTTTTAGCTGGGCTTGTTCAGTGGGATTGATCAAAAGAGACTCTAGTGAGCACGATACCTGCCCAGCCCCAGAAGTGATTTTAAGCATTGCTTCTGGTTCCCAAACTATAGTCCTTGAGAATCTTACTCTTGAAATATCCTCCTTTGGGTTGTTGTCCCTTTCCTCATCAAACTGTGCCCAGCGGTGGGTATCAGGGGCTTCAGTGAGCTGGACCAGCCCCTTTCCTGGTGGATATGGAGCTCCTAGCCTGCAGGAGAGGCAGCCGTGCTCCACCCCTCCTTTCCCAGTTCTGGTTGGCTTTACAATGCAAACACAAAAGCGGGATTTTGCTGGTCTGGCTCCCCAATATAAGCCATGAATGTAGATGCTATGGGGTTCCAACCAATAATAAAAATCATACACAATGACAAACAGGCAGAAAACCTGCTTTTTTTAGGGTCTGGCACCCTTGCAACTCATGCCCAAGCAGAAGGGGTTACAAAATTAGCCCCACACAGGTCTCCAACAGAGGTGATCTCAGTAAAGCTGGGCCCTGATTCCCAGTTCTGCTCGCTATCTGGGCTCTCTTATGAGCAGGTGAAAAATCCCCACTGTGCCTCGCACGCAGCTCCATTCTCTGGTGGTGAGAAGTCTAGCTTCCCCTTCATTGCACCACACAGTTAAAATGCTTTCTGGAGTTCTATACAATGCTTTACAGGAAAGCAGAGGGTCCCTTCAGTGCCCTGCTGAGGGAAGCTCACAGACTCCTTTCTATTCTGAAGCACACACTAAAGGACAGACTTTTCTGCAGTCAGCACCGGGGGTGAATATCAAGGCGCTGCCATTAGGCGTGTTCTTTCACTGGGAAGGTTCAGACCCCACTTCAAAGGCAGACAGCTCTCCTGGCTCCCTCTTCCCGATGTGCATGGCCTCTCCTTCCCTTCTCCACTGCTGAGGGTTTGAGATCCCTGATTTTGATGCCAGTCTGAAACTGGACACAATGGGTCTGAGCTGCCTGTCACCACTTGGGCCAATTAAGCAGAAACAGGTTTGAGTCATATATAAGTGTTTATTCCAATAATGCTGGCAGTATGGGAGAGAGCAGCAGGATTTGTCCACATAAAATCTGCTCTGCTCTCTCCTTACTAGCTGGCTGATTGTATAGGGATAAAGAAGAAAGGCTGCATGCAAGGGGGGAAGGAGGGGGAGGATGGCTACAGAGTCTGTAGTCCCGGTGTCCCTTTCCAGGATCTTGAAGTCAGATAAAAAAGGTAATTAGCTTTCAGTGGGGTTAAAACCCAGCTCCACCAGATCCTGGGACCTGAGAATGGTCAGTATTCCAGAGGAAAATTCCCAGAGGAGGTTCAGTCTCCAGGCACAGCAACCAAATCAAAGTGCGTTGTGTCCTTTGTCTGTTCTCAAAATGCATTTTCTGTTGTGAGCAAAGCACCCACCCAGGTCCCATTGTGTCTCTTATCTTCTTACAGCCCTATTTTTCTTCTTGCAGCACATCCTCCAGTTTCCCAGGTTCTGAAGGAAAACTTCTGATCTATAGTTAGTATGGCGAATAATCATTAAACAACTATGGTCCTATTCCTATTAGGTGCCTTCCCTCCTTTCACAACCACTGTCAACAGAGCATGATCAACATCTATGCCCCCAACAAGTCCACACTACCAAGAGGAGGGAGCTTTGCAGCCTCTAACCCTCAGGCCTCCCAGTCAAGCATAGGCTTCAGGGGGGACGGGGGCACTGCCCCTTCCACACCTCCCCCTCTCTTACCAGTCTCTACAATGTTTCTTCAGTACTCCTTAGTCAAAATATACCCAATCAGCTATATTTCCCTTGTTTTTACAAGCTGACTATGCAATATTTTAGCTGTAAATCTACTCCATGGCTGAGAGCAGGGGCACTCACCCCCTTCTTAGAAGGCCACTATTTTTGAACTACCCCAGTCTTATATTTTGAAACAGTTTAGTCCATATTTTTTCTGATCTGTGAAATCCTGACGCTTGTGTAATAGTCAGCGCTTACCGTAGCATTCCTTGAGCACCACTGGCCAGAGTGTAGTGGACAAAGATGGTACATGATCCTCGATCTCTAGGAACTTGCCTCCTGAGAGGAGACTGAGCCTGAAGTGAGAAGTCATCATCAGTTTGCATTTCAAACTGTGGAAGAGCAGTCTGATCGAGGGCTATCAAGTCTTCTTAGGGAAGAGGAGAGTGGGAAATGAACTCAGAAAAAATGGGAAGGATGCATACCTATAAATATAGTTTAAAGCCAAAAGTATTTCTGCTGTGTCTTCAATTTATTGTTGAAAGAATATTCAGCTTATTCCCAAAGAAAGCAAAAGGTAATAGAGTGTTACTTGAAGGAAGCACAGCACATTATCTGGTAAAGGCCTGGCACAATCAATTCCAGTCTTGCCAAGGACCTTTCCATTCATTCTGTACACCCTGTCTGCTGCCAGGCGTTATTCTGGGGCTGGTGAAAAAGAGAAAATAATTTACTTTCATGTTCTTACTCTGTTATGCCCAGGTCAATGTCAAGATCCACCGAAATTCCATTCTATGAAACCCAAGGGGACACCTGCACCCCCTTATAATATTGGGGTTGAAATAGACTATGAGTGTCTCCCAGGATATGTGCCTAAGGATCCTCCTCTTCCCACCAATGTTGTTTGTCAGAAGAATTCCACCTGGACACACATCATGGAAGCTTGTACAACAAGTAAGTACACAAAAGCTTTTATTTTTATTACTCTAAAGATTTCACACATTTTACAGTGCATATTGCACTATTACAATGATGGTTTTCTCAGGTGAATGTCAATTTTTAGATAGCAATGTCTTTTTTCAGGCTTTGAAATTCTCCAGGAAATTTTTTATTTGGCTATTGATTTTCTGGAGTAATGTGAATCTTGACTTTGGCCATAGTGACAATATGGATGTACCTTGAGAATATTATGCTGAGCAAAATAAGTCGGAAAAAGCTAAGAACCATATGATTTCACTCATATGTGAGATATAAAACTGAAACTCATAGATACAAACAAATTTGTTGGTTACCAGAGGGAAGTGGGGGTAGGGAAATGAGTAAAGTGAACCAAATATATGTGACAGAAAATGAACTGACTTTGGGTGGTCTGACTTTGGGTGAACTGACTTTGGGTGGTCTGACTTTGGGTGAACTGAGGGTGAACTGACTTTTGGGTGTACTGAATACAGTATATTCAATATACAGATCATGTATCATAGAATTCTACACTTGAAACATATATAAACTAATTAACCAATGTGAACCCAATAAACTTAATAAAAATAAATACTAAAGAAAATATTTCTATGAATTTAGTAGAGCAATGTTTAATTTCTATTTTGTCAAATCTCTTTTGACATTGTATAAAAAAACAAATTGGGAGGTGGGTGGGCCTGATAGGATGAAAGAAGGCGAAGAGAATAGCCAAAGAGCATATATGCATATCCCATTGACAGAGACAAAAGTGTTGTTCGGGCTAGGGCAGTAGGGGGATATGGCTTGGTCTGGGTGGATGGGGTCAAAGTTGAGGAAACGAGAGGACATCTCTAATAATGTCATCCATAAAAATGTTAAAGAACTGATCAGAAAATGGGCAGAGGACATGAAAAGACACATCTCCAAGAAGACATACTTATGGCCAACAGACATTTGAAAAGATGCTCAATATCACTAATGACCAAGACAGTGAAAATCAGAACCACTATAAGATCCCACATCACACCAGTCAGGATGCCTATGTTCAAAAGTCCAACAAACAAACAGCATGTGTGGGCATGGATGTGGAGACAATGGAAGCCTTGTGAGCTGTTGGTGGGACTGCAAATTTGTGCAGCCACTATAGGGAACTATATAGATATTCCTTAAAAAACTAGAAATAGATCTACAATATAACCCAGCAACTCTAATTCTGGGTATTTATCCAATTAATTTAAAAAGATACATGCACACATATATTGCTGCTGCTTTACTTATAATAGCCAGATATGAAAGCAAACTAGGTGTTCATAATTACATGAATGGATAAATTATACACACATACACACACACACACGCACACGCACACTGGAATATGCACTAATATAAAAAGAAATTTTGCCAGTTGCAACAACATAGATGGATTTAGGGCGTATTATGCTATGCTAAGTAAGTATAAAAGAGAAAAACAAACACCACATGATTTCACTTATAAGTGGAGTCTAAATAAACACACAAAACAAAGAAACAACACAAGAACAGACTCATAGAAACAGTGAATAAAGATATGGTTGCCAGAGGGGAGGTGGATGGGGGGATGCATGAAAAAGGTGAAGGGAAATATTATTGTGATAAATTTTCACCATGACAGTTGATGGTAGAGTTAGTTGGATGATCTCATGGTAAAGCATAAAATTTTCAAATCACTATATTGTATACCTAAAACTAATACAATCGATAAAATGTTATATACCAACTATAGTGAAATTAAAAAAAAAGAATTGGAAAACCTAAGTAGAGGATCACTAGTAAGGAAATTTAAGCAGTAATCAAATACTTCCCCTTAAAAACAAGTCCAGGCTCAGATGGCTTCATTGTTTAATACTGCAACACATTCAAAGAAGATTAAATACCAATCCTTCTCAAACTCTTCCAAAAATTTCAATAGGATGGAGTACTTTCTTTTTTTAAAAAATTATATCTTTATTGATTTCAGAGAGAGGAAAGGAGAGGGAGAGAGAGAGACAGAAACATCAATGATGAGAGAGTCATTGATCGAGCCCACAACCTGGGCATGTGCCCTGACCGGGAATCGAACCCTGATCTCCTGGATCCTAGGTCGATGCTCAACTTCTGAGCCACGCCTGGCCGGGCAGGACGGAGTACTTTCAAACTTATTTCATGAGGCCAACTTTTTCCTCATAACAAAACCAGTCAAGGACAACACACAAAAAAGAAATATATAGGCCAATATCTTTGATGAGCATCAATGCAAACATTGTAAACAAAATACTGGTAAATCAAATACAACTATACATTAAAAGTATCGCATATCATGATGAAGTGAAGTTCATTTCAAGGATGGAAGGATGATTAAATACTCACAAATCAATCAGTGTGATGCACCACATTAACAAAACAAGAGATGAAAATCACATGATCACTTCAAGATGCAGAAAAGGCATTTGACAACATACAACAGCTACTTATGACTAAAACACAATAAAATGGGTAGAGAAGCCAAATATCTCAACATAATAAAGGCATGCTGTGACACTCAGCTAATGTCATAGTCAGTGGAAAGATATTTCATGTTAATAGGTTAGAAGATTTAGCATTGTTAAAATGGCCATATATGTAAAGCAGTATACTGAAATCTTTTCCTGTAAAATCAGGAACAAGACAAGGATGCCCATTCTCACCACTGTTATTCAACAGAACACTGGAATTCCTAGCCAGAGAAAATAGGCAAGAAAATGAACAAAAAGGCATCCAAATTGGGATGGAAGAAGGGAAGCTATCACTATTTGCATATGACAAAATTCTCTGTATAGTAAACCCTAAAGACTCCACCAAAAGACTTTTAGAGAAAATGAACAAATACAGTAAGTTGCAGGATATGATGTTGGCTGTAGGCTTGTCATTTATGACCTTTATTATGTTGATGTATGATCTCTCTATTCCCACTTTGCTGAGAGTTTTTACCATAAATTGATACTACCTTTTGTCAAATGCTTTTTCTGCATCTATTGATATGATCATGATTTTTGTCCTTCATTTTGTTTATATGATGTATCACATTTATTAATTTGGGAATATTATCTCAGCCTTGCATCCCTGGGATAAATTCCACTTGGTCGTGTTGTATGAACTTTGTAATGTATTGCTGGATCTGATTTGTTAATATTTTGTTGAGGAATTTAGCAAGTATGTTTATCGGGTATATTGGTCTGTAATTTTTTTATTTTATTTTTTTTAGTTTCTTGATTTGGTTTTGGAATTAGGATAATACTGGCCTCATAAAAGGAGGTTGGAAGTCTTCCCTCCTCTTGAATTTTCGGGAATAGTTTAAGTAGATTAGGGGTTAATTCTTTCAGTGTTTGGTAAAACTCTCCTGTAAATCCATCTGGTCCCAGATTTTCTTTACTGGGAGTTTTTTGATTGCTGCTTCAATTTCCTCAGTTGTTATTGACATATTCAGGTTTTCTGATTCTTCCTGATTGAGTTTTGGACGATTGTCTTTTCCTAGGAATTTATCCATTTCACCCAGGTTGTCCAGTTTGTTGGCATATAGTTTCTCCTGGCATTCTCGTGGTGTTTTCTTTGGATTCTTTCTATTTCTGTGGTGTCTGTTGTTACTTCACCTCTTTCATTTCTGATCTTATTTATTTGGGTCCTCCCTCTTTTTCTTTATCAGTGAGTCTGGCTAACGTTACATCAATCTTTTTGTTTTGTTTTCTAATATATCTTTATTGATTTCAGAGAGAGGAAAGGAGAGGGAGAGAGAGAGATAGAAACATCAATGATGAGAGAATCATTGATCAAGCCCTCAACCTGGGCATGTGCCCTGACCAGGAATCGAACCCTGATCGCCTGGATCCCAGGTCAACGCTCAACTGCTGAGCCACGCCTGGCCGGACCGTTACATCAATCTTACTTTCCTGTTCAAAGAAAAAGCTCTTGGTTTCATTGATCTTTTGTATTTCGTTTTTAGTGTCTGTGTCATTTATTTCGGCTCTGATCTATATTATTTCCTTAGTTCTACTTCCAGTTGGCTTTTTTTGCTGTTCTCTTTCTAATTCTTTTAGTTGTAGTGCTAGATAATTTATGGGAGCTTTTTCTTGTTTCTTGAGGTATGCCTGTAATGCTATGAACTTTCCTCTCAGGATTGCTTTTGCTGTGTCCCATAGATTTGGGGTTGTTGTCTATTTATTTTTGTTTGTTTACAGGAAGTTTTTTATTTCTTTCTTGATCTCTTTGGCAAACCATTCATTGTTTAATAGCATGCTACATAGCCTCCATGTGTTTGAATATTTTTTAGGTTTTCTTTAAAGCAGTTGATTTCTAGTTCCATGCCATTGTGATCTGAGAAGATGCTTGATATGATTTTAGTCTTCATGAACTTGTAAACACTTGTGTTTGTGCCCTAATATGTGGTTTATTTTTGAGAATGTTCTACCTGCACTTGAGGAGAATGTATATTCTGCTGCTTTGGGTTGAAATGTTCTGTAAATATCAATTAAATGCATTAGATCTATTGTGTCTTTTAAGGTCTTTGTTTCCTTGTTGATTTTGTGTGTGAATGATCTATCCAGTGATGTCAGTGGGTGTTAAAGTCCCCCTCTATGGTTGTATTGCTGTCAATATCTGTCTTACAGCCCGCCAAGATTTTTATATATTTAGGTGCTCCTATATTATAGACATATATGTTTATATGGGTTATATCCTTCTGCTGGATCAATGCCTTTGGTATTATATAGTGACCTTCTTTGTCTCTTCTTATGTTCTTTATTTTGAAGTCTGTTTTGTTAGAAATCAGTATTGCTACCCCAGCTTTTTTTTTTTCATTTCCATTTCTCATGGAGTATTTGTTTCCATCCCTTCATTTTCAGCCTGCATGAATCTTTTGCTCTGAGGTGGGTCCTTCGTAGACAGCATATATATGGGTCATATCTCTTATCCACTCAGCTACCCTGTGACTTTTGATTGGTGTATTT